TTTAAGCACGTCTGTGTTAAATGGGCCCAACCTAGCAAACAATCAAAGCGTTAGTCAAGATGGATTTTGTGGAAACTCAGAAGCAACTAGCATCCAACTATACTCAGACACCAATGGCATCTCACGTAAGGTAAAAAATGTAAAGAAAAACCTTCTTCAGTACGAGTGTGAGCTACAAAAACAAGCAGAGGAGAGCTGCAATTCTGTGCTTTGGCCAAAGGTGGCAGTATCATTAGAAAACCATGCCTTTTTAATATTCTCTTGCATCTGGATCCATTCCCACTTTACTGGGAGTAAAGAGAAAAATTAGTTGTGTGTTCTTAATACCGCAATCTGATGGACTGAAGGCGTACCCTCTGAAAGAGAAGTCCGGTCATATTTAGAAATCAGACCTCTAAGAGTAATTTATATATGAAATTATTACATAATATTCAATAAATGATAAGTGATTTTAATTGAGAGTGTTTTTAATTTTAATGTGCTTTACTGGAGGCATCCATGTTTGTCAAAGAACTCTACTGCCACCTACTGGTTTGTGACGTCACGGTGCGGTATCGGCTGTTGATCAAGTCCCAGTGCTGTATCTGGTGTTTGTCACAACGCGCTATTATCCAAGTCATCTTGAAAACATTCTTCTTCAAAATGTTGGCTACATATTACGTGTTTTTTCTCTGGCCAGAAGTTTGATGGCAAATCCTCCCTCTTCAAGTTGGCAATCCAACAACCAACCCGTCCGTGGAGGATCAGAAAGGTGGAATAACTATTTTTTTCACTTTTACCCGATGTATTCCAACATCCAGCTGCCATGCACGTGGGCATTGTCAGTTTCACTATAGCTCTGGTGAATTTAAATGGTGAAGTCCTCTGGAAATCTTCAATAATTGTTGTTGATTGCAGATGTGTCTAGTAGTTCCCATTGATTTTGCTTGTAAAGCGGGGAGAACGGCGCTAGGCTTACCGCACCGTGACGTCACTGCTGGAAGATGGCAGGAGGGAGGGGTTCCCAGACTTAGTGATCACAACGAAAATTAATATTTTTTTACTGATTAATGCTAATTAAATCACAGCAAACATCTTAGTTTTAGGTATAAATAATGATCCATTGATTATTCCTTGCTAAGAGTAATGAGAACAGCATGCCAGTGATTTCCAAGAGATTCTTTTTACCGGTATGGAAATCCTTGAGTGGAAACTTCCTGGCAGACCTTCTCATGCCTTCTGCAAATTAACTTAAATCTCAAGGAGAGTCTCCTCAAAAAACAGTTGAAGCTGGAAATAGCTGAAGAATAGATGCTTGTGTGACAGCAGATGAGAGAACACCTTTAGCAATGTGATGCAATATGGTGTACTACTGCACATTTTAAGTGTGGTATTTTGTCCACTTCCTTTCACTGTTGCATTAGGGAAATTAATTAAAATCAAAAAATTTCATAGAGAAGAAGAAATCTGAGAAATAATGAAAATGGCTAGCTTTCTAGGCATGATCAGGTTTAAAGAGTTACACTTTATAATATGCTGAAGTTTTTGTCATCACAAATATTCCAACAATTTAAGATAATTTTACTTAGGTCCCAAAAACTGTGCATGGAGTAACTAAGGACTGCCGGTCAGAAAGATAAAAGCGTCTGAATAAACGGCCCTTGTTAGGACTGTGCTGCAGTTTGCAGCTGCCTGCAGGCTCATGACCTCAGCAGACTGCCTGGCTGATGAACCACCAGCCGCTCAGACTGGCAGAGCTCTGTGCAGCTCTGGGAGACAACAAGCTATAGGACTCTTTACACTTCCAAAATGTAGATCAATGCTCTCATTTATAAACTAAAATCCATCTAATATTTAGGAAATATTTCAGATCCTCAACACTTCAATCGATTAAGTCATTGGGTGGATATAATCCACCTCCCTGTAAAAAACAGCTGATGTCAAATCAGGATATGATCTCTGGACGGCTGTCATCCATAAACATGATGTACGGATTCATTTGAAAGGATTTTAAATCATATTTATTTACCGATTATTTAAGTTTCACAGGTTTTAGACAGAAACAAATGAATTAAATTCCAACCTTGTTATATTTCAGTTCCTCTGTGAAAGAATCAGGACTAAATAAAGAGGTTAGCCTCTAAATGCAACACCAACTAAACTTCTGTGCTGATTTTCACACCAAACACTTTTCCAAGAGAACCAAATTCACACGCTGATAAACTGATCATTGTTAATCTAAGGGTTGAATGCTTTGCTCAGTGGCACATTGGCATTTGGTAGAATCAGAGCTGGAATCAAACCCACAACCTTCTGCAAGAAGAGGCTTCTATCAGGCAAATTACGGCAACTGAAAAAAAATACCAATGACAAAACTGATTTGGCTTTATATCCATATATTTATAAAGGATCCCCCCCCCACACACACACACACACACACACACTGATAAAACAGATAAACTCAACGTAAACAGAATAAAAATATTCTACTTCATTCTATTAGATTTTTACAATTTTTGAAAACGCCACTAAGATCTTCATATCCAATTAGCACTATATTTGTACTTTTTATACCGTTTAAATTTTATATTTCTAATTGATCATTTTAAAGGGCTATTTTATGTTAATATCTGGTTTGAACTACAGATGAAAATGTGTGTGAATCTGGCAGATGTTGGACTCTAACAGGGACTCAAGTTGATTCATTCATTAATCATCTTTGGAATAAAAATAAAAAAGAAAGATATTTTAAATTAATAAAACAATTTGTCGAAATAATGTAAAACAGTATAACCTAATTTTCTCATAATAACTTCATATTATTTAACTTTATCGCCTGCCTTTAATCGGGCTATTCTATATTATTCTTTTTAATTTCTGCTAAATGTTTTATTCCTCCGGAGGAAACAGGTTGATGTTTGGGAGGTTTTTCTGCATGGCTCTATTTCTTTAAATCTGGAGCCTTTTTCTGTTTTAGGGAGAAAAAGTTCCCGAAGAAAAGACTCTTTTTTTTTTTTTTTTTTTTCATTAACAACATAAAGAAGGAGCCGGGGCTCCACAGAGCAGCAGGCCGGCTGCGGGGACCTTGTTCCCGCTGGAACCCGGAGCTTTTCTCCCTGTGAATGGGGGACAAAGAGGCCGCGGCTCCGCGCAGCGCGGCTCTGCGCGGCGCGGCGCGGCAAACAGCCGCCGGCCCGCAGGCCTTTGTGCCTCGTTAGGAGCTGCGGCTCGTTTAAAGAGAGAAAGTGAGAGAAAAGCGCAGCGGGGAGCCTCATTTCTCCAGTTCAGCGGCCATAGAGGAGCTGATGGAGCCAGAAAACAGCGCTGCTGATCAATGCGCACAAAAACAATCAGAACCTCAATTCAAACGATCTCCAACTTTTATGCCCATTGATGCTGATTTATTTATCTAGTTATTTTATTTATGGGAACCTTTTTATCATCATCATTATTTTATTTTATTTGTCTTTCTAATTGGAAAATAGAGATTTTTGGCTAATATAAATTCTGCCTTTAAAAGGAAAAAGTTGTAAAGTCCAAGAATGTGAATTTTAAGGCCACATTAGAATAAACAGGCCTGGTCCAGTTTAACCCCAGTTTTCCTTTGCCAATGAACTTACCTTAAACTGTCTCAAATAAATATTAATAGAACTTTTATCAAGTAAACAAAACAGGCAATCAGGTCGTAGTTCAAAGACACAACTATGGAAACTAAACATTTCTAAGTGATCATTTAAAAAAAGGTAAACCCAATTTTAATTTGTTGCAATGATTCATTTGCAGAGCAGAATCTTTTTTAGAATCTTTTAAAAAGTCAGCTTTTTCTTTTTTGACCGCTTTGTTGGGATCAGACTGACTGAGAGAGTCGGGATATCAGATCATTGATGGTTTTAGTCGACAAAAATAAATAAATAAATAAATAAATAAATAAATAAATAAATAAATAAATAAATAAATAAATAAATAAATAAATAAATAAATAAAACTTGTCTTTAAATCCAGCAGCAATGGAAGCACTGAAGTGATGGAATAATATAGTTTATTTCTGGGCCTCCTGACCAACAGATAACAATATAAAGATATTTTCTATCTTTGCTGTGAATAAAAGAGAAATGGAGAGAAAATGACTTTCTGTGCTTCAGTGAACAGGTTGATGCTTTCAGTGGATCTCCACGGTGAGTTGCTCTGATCTGCAGTCCCCCCACCATCAAAGGTTTAATGAAAAATACTTTATAAAGTTAAACCATGTATTGCAACATGATCATGAACTAGTGATTAAAGTATCTAATGGAGGCCCTGCGCATCTTCAGCACCATGGATAAAAGAAAAGAAGCTTCTTTAAAATCTTCCAGTGGATTTTATCCTAATCTCTCTGCTGAGATTTTCAGCAATAAATGCAAAAGTAAAACTAACAAATAATATAAATATTTGTGTATTAAGCCGAAATTAAAATACGTTTTCTTATTAGTTTCAAGACGAATTATTTGCGTATATTTTATGATAAAAAGCGCGAAAACATTTAATATTTCATGAAAATAATGAATTTTTGAAGCTTTTTTGAAAATCATTATTAGAGCAGGAATAAAAGATTGCTGATTTAGTTTGTGAGCTTTTATTTGATTTGTTGTCCTGTTTCCTTTGGGCTCGTCCTGATCCACCATCAGCTGAGCGGCTCGCAGCGCAGCGATGGATCCGTTTCCATTTGGTCCCACATGAAGCGCAGAGCTTAGTTTTCCATTTTCCACCTCATTCTCACTGCATGTCCCACTGATTCTGGACCAGATGCAGAATCTGGACAAGCAGGAATACTAAGGACACATTCAATCAAATCACCTGCTGTCTTTAGAGCATATTCTAGTTTTCTATTTCACAGAATACGTCTATTATTCCTCTATTTCATTTCGAGTTCATTAACTTTATCAATTAATGCTAATTTCTTATTTTCTGCAAGTTAACTAAACTTTCATGCATCTTAGAGCAGAAACCCTGCTGGGATTCTGCAGGGCAGACATGAAGCTTACCTTTCTGAGGCATGCTGCAGAGAAGTAAACTTTAGCTGCGCTCAATGTATCCAAAGTTCCTCCTGTGTATTCGTTCCTCCAATTAGTTTCTCCTTGACTGGAAAGACAAGTGCAGAAAGAGACAGAGTCGCTCCTCTGAGGAGGAGGGACAGGAAAGGAGAACAAGTGGGCGGGCTGAGAGGGCTGCATGGAGAATGGGGGAGGAATGGGGGAGGAGGGGGCAGAGAGCCCAGTGTGAGGGAGAGAGGTGTTTCTGTGTTTGGGAGAGGCCTAGGATCACTTCTGCACACTTTATTCCCTGTTTTCCCTTTGAGATCCTCAATCCAACCAACTGTGGTTTAGAAAAAGGAATGAAAGGGACCCGAGATACACACTGATAACTGGGCCTCTTAAACTCCTAGGGAAATCCTATTAATGTTAAATTATTCTGGCTTAAACATGCATATAAATGTACTCTTTATTAGACCAGATTGTTCCAAAAGTTAGAAGATTTCTATTTAAAGAATATCTTGTCTTAAAATCGGTGTATTTTTTTCCCCGTTATCTTCTGCAGGCCACTTAGTCATACATCAGTCTGAACACCTAAATTCAGCCAATCATATATCAACGGTCAGCTGTCAATCAAATGTTTTCGGTCATAGCATCTTGATTCATATGTCGCAGCTAATATACGCAACGGTTGAAATCAGAAATCAGAATCCTTTCCTTTCCCATTGAGTTCCGTCCCAGTGTTCACGGGGATGGACGTCTGTGTCTTCAGCAGGCGTAGAGCTAACAGAACTGGCAGTGTTGCAAGGCAAGGGCTCAAACATGTACGGCTGGAAGCCTTCTACACCAAACCAAGCTTCTGCCGCCCTGGCGTCCTCTTCCACAACATCTTCGTCCCCACTTTCCTCCTCTAAATAAAAAACGGATGACGGAGGAGACTCATCCACGACCTCTAACACTAAACTCTCCTCCTCTTGCATGTTTCCTCTGTCCATAGCGTTCCTTGACAGTGTCATTTCTTAGTCACCACTTTAGTGCTACTTGGTCCCAATGGAATTTCCCATTGGGAACCTACTAGCACTAAGTTGCTAACTGGTTAGCAAGATGCTTCTGAGACACCAGCTACAACCAAACTTGCTTGTGAACCTTCCGCCACAACAATCCCGCCCCCTTGATAAACGACCAATCACATTCACTTTATTCACTCGTGTAAAGTCGGGCACCACTGCATGGATTTATTAGAAATTTATAGACCAACATAGAGAAGGAGAAAATGGAAACTATAGCTTAAAGTGTTTGGAAAAATGACTTGGAAAACGTTTGGATCCAACCTTTATGAGTGCACACTTTATATGACAGTCCCTGGGGGCCCAGTAAAACTTCCCTTACATGTATGGTTAATGCAGCTCGTACTTATTTGTGCACATTGAATATGTTTCTGATAAAAAAAATCTTTTTGCTAAAATGTTCTGTTTGGTGAAAACAGCGAACTCTGCTCTCCAGAGCAAGAAGATTGGTAACCCCGCCTCCTGCTCTCCTCTATCTTGTCTGCTGTCATGATTCATGCAGCTATTATTTCATCCAAATGAAAAATGGAGAACAGATAAGCAGATCATGGCTTGTCTACAGTGAAAAGAAGGACTGGGTTATTTACTTTGGCCTTTTTGGAAACACAGGAAGGAGCAATCAGCTAAGTGAGCTTAGTGCTTGGAAAAAATATTTCATTCCTTTAGAGACAGCATGAAAAGTCAGCTGAGTACAAAACATAGAGAGGAAAACAAGAAGAAAAGGGACAAGAAGAGAGGGACACAACCTAGAACAGATAATGGATGTCTATTCTATTAACATTTCTCTACCTGTAGAATGGGTCTGTTTTATGTGTTGTCTTCTCCATTCTCTGCTACTGTCTCCTTGAACTCCAGTCGGCCTCAGCAGATGGCCACTCACACTGAGCCTGGTTCTGCTGGAGGTTTCTTCCTGTTCAAAGGGAGTTTTTCCTCTCCACTGTCACTACAAGCATGCTTAGTGTGAGGGATTGTATTTGAGTCAATGAGTCAATGCAATCAACTGGTTTTCCTTAGATAGAAAACTTTGTATCAATTTGACTGTATGATCTGGTTGAACTGTAAAGTGCCTTGTGTTGTGAATTTGGCGCTATATAAATAAACTGAATTGAATTGAATTCAGAGGGCCCCCTGCCTGTCTTTGCCTAGGGCCCCAAATTTGCTAAATCTGCCCATGCTTATATAGAAACACCTTTTGCATGCGGTTCAATTATATTCAATATATTTCTATAACTCCAAATCACATCATGTCATCTCAGGTCAATTTATTGAGAAAATTCAACCAGATCATCCAGTCTGATTGGTTCAAACTTTTCAATCTAAGGAAAACCAGCTGATTGCATCGATTTAAAGGAAAAATCAATGAATCATTATTTATACCTAAAACTAAGATGTTTGCTGTGATTCAATTAATTTAGCATTAATTAGTAAAAAATTATCATTTTCGTTGTGATCACTGAGTCTAGGAGCGGCCATTTTTGCCGAAATATATAGTAGCCCCTCCCTCCTGCCATCTTCCAGCAGTGACGTCACGGTGCGGTAAGCCTAGCGCCATTCTCCCGCTTTACAAGCTAAATCAATGGGAACTACTAGACACATCTGCAATCAACAACAATTATTGAAGATTTCCAGAGGACTTCACCATTGAAATTCACCAGAGCTATAGTGAAACTGACAATGCCCACGTGCATGGCAGCTGGATGCTGGAATACATCGGGTAAAAGTGAAAAAAAAGAGTTATTTCACCGTTCTGATTCCTGATCCTCCACGGACGGGTTGGTCGTTCGATTGCCAACTTGAAGAGGGAGGATTTGCCATCGAACTTCTGGCCAGAGAAAAAACACGTAATATGTAGCCAACATTTGGAAGAAGAATGTTTTCAAGATGACTTGGATAATAGCGCGTTGTGACAAACACCAGATACAGCACTGGGACTTGATCAACAGCCGATACCGCACCGTGACGTCACAAACCAGTAGGTGGCAGTAGAGTTCTTTGACAAACATGGATGCCTCCAGTAAAGCACATTCAAATGGAAATTACTCTGAATTAAAAACACTGATCATGTATTGAACAGGATGGAATAATTTAATATTTAAGTACTTTTAGAAGTTTGTATTCTGAATATGACCAGACTTTTCCTTTAAAAAGTTTAGGTAATGTTTTGTTGAGATTTGCACATTGACAGACATTATTGTTTTGGACAATATTTTAGAGCCTAACCCTCCTTTAAATAATTAAATTAACTTATCCCAGATTGATTTTGTTTGCTCACTAATGTTCTCTAACTATTGATTCAGTTTTCTAAAAGAATTATGGCATTTTTATATTCAGGACTTTATATCTCATCATTATGTTTCTCAATGTCACAGATATTAAAGGCACACTATGCAACATTTTTCAGTTAATTAATGTGTTCCATATCGTTTTGGATGATTGAATGAGTCATTTCAGGTTGAACAAAGGTATTCTCGGCCGCCCTGGTGGTCTGTGGGGGAAATACTGCACTTGCAATTGCAGGAGCACCGACCCGCACCCACAGGCTCAGAAGTCTCGCGAGAGTCAGTCTTGCTTTACGGCGAGAACTGCTACACGCCCCCAGTTAAAAGCATTCTCGTTGCTAGCACAGTGGCAATCTTTGTGCAGTTATGCTACGTTCACGCAGCAAAAGCAGCAAAATCGCGTCTGCTGCTTCATTTTTGCTGCTTGTACCAGTTAGTTCTGACGCGCGGCTGAAGCAGCTTTGCTGCTCTGGCTGCGCGGTGCAAAAGTGTGTCTGACGCGCGTTGGGCGGAGCTTCACTATCCTTTCTCTGCCTTGCAGCTATATTTGCTGTGATCAGTGGGAATAAAGTAGTTTTAATATGTGTTTAAGTGAGAAAATACACCTGAAAACGTAATCAGTGCAGTCAGTTCATTCAGATTATTATCCTGCCTTCAATATTTTTTCTGTCGGAGCCGCTCAGGCACCCACATACCAGCGGTGCGCCGACAGGCAGCTGGTAGGTGTTTTTCATCTAAATAATCCAAACTGCATATTCTGCCTGCAGATTTCTGCATTTTAAGTTAATTTAGGCGTCAATAAACTGTTTAAGAGGAGTGATCATAGCCTCTGATCATCAGCGCTGTGTCTCTCTCCCTGCGTCAGATGATTAAACGCGCCTGATGCGCTGCTTCAGCTGCTCAGACGTGCTGCGCCTGCTGCTCAAAACGCGCCGCGGGACCTTTTGCTGCGCCTTGTCGTGCGTCAACCATTGACTTTGCATGTAAACTCGCTGCTTCTGTCGCGCCAGCTGCGTCCAGTGTGAACGCAGCATTAGTCATTCGTTGCGTTCGCCTGTCTGCTAAGCTCAAAACAACCGCGCCTGGCTTGACGGAGAAACCAGGAGAACAGCTGTGCATATTTACGACAGTGCACTTTTACTTTCGCCCTCTGGGGGGAGCCTCGCTGGAAAATCAACACCGGTTGCATAATGTACCTTTAAGTCACATCACAGCATCTCAAAGAGATCAAGATCTGAGCTGAGACATCTTTCTATTTCTTCATTCTTAGCCAGTCTTTGTTAGGTTTGCTGTCGACTAAAGCTAATTTTTATACTTTCTGTTCTCCAGGCTCCTCATGTAAATATGGTTGCATGTCTTGTAGGAAACAGAAATACTAACCCCTCAGTTCCAGGCCAGCTTTCTTAATTTCTCCAAGCACATGGGGAAATGTGGTACCACAGTATGTCTGGGCCCAGATTGGTTCTCAATATGTGTGCCTTCTTGGGGGGGGCACATTCAAGAAACTCAATTTGGGATTAACAATCACCATTTTGGACTGATGTCCCTTATTGTCTGCCGTCTATAAACTAAGGCTGCACCATGTTGCCAAATTGGACACACTAAAGCTGCAGAGTAACAATACTAGGAAAGAGCTGTGCAAGACCCTTCAAGTTCAAGGTTTTTAGCTTGCATACAGTACAGACTGTGTTTTTTAGATAAAGATGTGTATATCTACCGCCTAAGTGCTTGGACTTCCTGTAGAGGATGAGGAGAGCCCACCTGCCCCCACCCATCCTCACCACCTTCTCCAGAAGCACCATAGAGAGCGTTCTGACCAGCT